GGGGGGGGAGGCGGTGCCCGCCCCGCCGGCGACATCCCGGGCGGGCAGTGACACCTAGCGTCCCCTCTGCTCCGCCGGACCAAGGCTCAAAGCCTTTTTGGGGGGTGCACATCATGTTCTGCCACTTTGCTCTCTCCGGGGATGTCCCGGGGGGGGACACCACCACTTGGGGATGGTGGAAAGCAGCCTCGGGCTGAGGGTTTGATGGAGACAGAGCAGCCGGTTCTTGTCTTAACTCTCCAGCACCAGGACCTGTCACCCCTTGTCACAGCCACAGTGGTCCTCTACTGGTCTGGTTATGGCACCAAAACCCGCTTGATGCCATCCAGAGGGACCTGGACAGGCCTGAGAGGTGGACCCGTGCCAACTTCATGATGTTCAACGTGGCCAAGTGCAAGGTCCTGCACCTGGGTCACAACAATCCCAAGGCGGAGAATGGATGGAGAGCAGCCCTTGAGGAGAACTTGGGGGTGTTGGTGGATGAGAAGCTCACCATGAGCCGGCAATGTGCGCTGGCAGTCCAGAAAGCCCCTGGCATCCCAGGCTGCATCCCCAGCAGCTTGGCCAGCAGGGCGAATGAGGGGATTCTGCCCCTCTGCTGCTCTCTGGGGAGACCCCCCTGCAGTGCTGCCTCCAGCTCGGGGGGTCCCAACAGCAGAAGGACATGGACCTGTTGGAGCAGGACTGGAGGAGGCCATGGAGATGCTGGGAGGGCTGGAGCCCCTCTGCTGGGAGGACAGGCTGGGAGAGTTGGGAGTGTTCAGCCTGGAGAAGAGAAGGAGAAAAAGGGGAGACTTAGAGCCCCTTCCAGTGCCTAAAGGGGCTATGGGAGAGCTGGGGAGGGACTTTTTATGAGGGCATGGAGTGATAGGATGAGGGGGAATGGCTTCAATCTGGAAGAGGGGAGGTTTAGATGAGATCTTAGGAAGAAATTGTTGACTGTGAAGGTGGTGAGCCCCTGGGGCAGGTTGCCCCGAGAAGCTGTGGCTGCCCCATCCCTGGAGGGGTTCAAGGCCAGGTTGGACGGGGCTCTGAGCAGCCTGGGCTGGTGGGAGGGGTCCCTGCCCAGGGCAGGGGGGGTGGAACAAGATGGTCTTGTTCTAACCTAAACCATTCTATGCTGAAGACATAGCGCCCCCGAGCACTTAAAAACCACACATGAATCTTCTGCTCATACCATCCTCCTTGCTGCAAATATTAATTAGATGTCAGGAGGGCTCTTTAAAAACTGCATTTATCCCATGATTTCCCATGTCTTAGTGTGGCAATGATGGTTTCCAGCTGAGGGCTTTTTTGCATGATTCATTCGGGAGCATTTCTCCCTGTCTGGTTTCATTCTGCGCACAATAACGGGTCTTTAACGCAGGTCTCACTGCTCTCACCCGCACGTAAGCTTATAAACTAGAGATAGAAAATCTGTTGTCCTCCCCAGGAGGGATTATTAACACAAGTTGTGAGATGCCAATATTACCAAAATAAAAGCAGTCTTGAAACTGCATGACTGTAAACTTTCTGCACAGCTTTCACCCCATAAAAATGCCTGTAGATGGTATTCCAAGAGCAGCCTTTTTATTTTAGTGCCATTCAAGAGATGTTAAGCACCACACCTGCAGCAGAAAGCTCCTTTACACCTGATCCAACCCTCGCCCTGACGCACATGGAGATGCTTCCAGAAGGAAACGGGAGATAGAATTCATTTGTGTGATCTGTCACTGGATGATGTGTCCAGTTCTGTCACCCAGAACTGAACAAAGAAGCTGAATAAATGCAAAATCCTGAAATAAGACTTGTGGAAGCGATTCAAGGTCAGGCTTCTGTTTTACAGGGAAATGCCAAGGAAATGGAGCTTATTTCGTTTGAGGGGGAGAAACGGCTGATCATGGTAATCACAAAGCAAGAGAGATGCTGGTAATCGGTCTCTACTCCGCTCTCGTGAGACCCCACCTGGAATATTGTGTCCAGCTCTGGAGCCATCAACATCAGAAGGACACAGACCTGTTGGAGCGGGGCCAGAGGAGGCCACAAAGATGATCAGAGGGGTGAAGCGCCGCTGCTGGGAGGACAGCCTGGGAGAGTTGGGGGTATTCAGCCTGGAGAAGAGAAGGCTCTGGGGAGACCTTCCAGTCCCTAAAGGGACTCCAGGAAAGCTGAGGAGGGACGTTTATCAGGGGGTGTAGCAATAGGAAAAGGGGGAACGGTTTTAAACTGGAAGAGGAGAGATTTAGATGAGATCTTAGGAAGAAATTGTTGACTGTGCGGGTGGTGAGCCCCTGGCGCAGGTTGCCCCGAGAAGCTGTGGCTGCCCCATCCCTGGAGGTGTTCAAGGCCAGGTTGGACGGGGCTTGGAGCAACCTGGGCTGCTGGGAGGGGTCCCTGCAGGTGGGTTGGAACTGGATGATCTTTAAGGTCCCTTCCAACCTAAACCATTCTACAATTCTATGATTTTTGAAGATAATAAAAGCAGGTGGCAGGGGAAGCTGAGGTAAAAGGCATCAGGGCGAGAGGCTGCTCTGCTCTGCCTGGGCATGGGAAAGCCCACAGCTGCCCACCCCTGCAGGACACAGCCCCTTCAGGTCCCCTGCCTCTTTCTCCCTTTCTCAATAAATCTCTGCCCGACTACCAAGACTAAATGCTGGGCAAGGAGTGGAAATAACCTCTGGGCCATGCAGCTGGGGACGACTGCAATCCAGCCTGCAGGGAGAATGGAGACATCCAGCAGAGAAACCCTCCCCGTTTCTGCAGTGAC